TTGAAGATCACGTGAAGGTCACCTTTAATTTCTTAAATGGAAACCCCGACTTTTCAACGCATATTTTTGTAGCTTACCACGAGAGCTTTCCAAAACGCTATAATAAAACGTTTCTTTAATGAGTACTTTTCGAGTTATGAAGGTTGAAAGTTACGGTACTGCCGGCATTAGCATTACCCAAAATGGAGGTTGCACGGTCGGCTTTACACCTCTTTGTGTGTTTGTGTGTTGTGTGTGTGAATGTGTGTGTGTCAGCAGAGATAAGGACCCCACGGTTCGTCACTCTCGTAGTATTTATCGACTCTAAACCCTCTCTGCTGTACGCGCGCGTGTGTGTGTGTGTGTGTGTGTGTGGCTGATGTTATTAGGCCTGCTGTTCGAAATGTCCACCGTTTGCTTCAATGCAAGCAAGTACTCTTTTCTCGAAATTATTTGTTGCATGAAGAATGCAATGTACGGATGCAGCTTGTTTTCATGGAAAATTCGCCAGATCGTGCTGCAACTAATTCCAGAATCTCTTTCTGTACGTCTTAATGAATGGCAGGGATGCAATTGAGCGGATGCAAGAATCTCCGGCATCCTTTCATCTCTAACTTGGCGTCGAATTTGTCTACCTTTATTGTGATCCGGTTGAAGAATACCTTTATTGGTAATTCGGTTAGCTAAGCGAGAAAAAACTTTGTACGAATGAGGAGCGCGATCTGGGTATCGTTCTCGCCACAATCTTGCAGCTGCTCTAAATTGACCATCACATTCACCTAAAATAAGCATCATATCACAAGCTTCCGCGTTTGAATACGACATGGCTGGTAAATGAGAATTTTGTTACACCTTACGTGACAGTATCAGACATGTCATACATCACGACTGGGTAATGCTAATGCCGGCGGTACCGTAACTTTCAATCCCCTAACTCAAAAAGTACTGATTAAAAAATGTTTCATTATAGTGTTTTGGAAAGCTCTCGAGGTAAGCTACAAGAATATGCATTGAAAAATGGGGGTTTCCATTTAAGAAATTAAATGTGACCTTCACGTGATCTTCAAACGACTATCCAAGGTTAATACAATGACACTATCTTATGTGCCCCTTGAAGTCACAAAACTTTTGTCTGAAACATTTTTCTTTAAAATGTCGCGTTTACGAAAAAATCGGGTGAGACGGGTGGTCTNTATCTTATGTGCCCCTTGAAGTCACAAAACTTTTGTCTGAAACATTTTTCTTTAAAATGTCGGGTTTACGAAAAAATCGGGTGAGACTGGTGGTCTGGGACACCCTGTATATGGGTCATTCCATGTAAAAAGGGTACGCTAAAAAATTAGATTTGATCGAAACCTATGGCAACGGGTAGTACTATTTTAGAAAACATTTGTCGAATTTTTTCGGATTTTCTGAACCACACCATGAGCTTCTATGGCTGTCATAAAATTCGAATTTTTGCTTCGACTACCAGTTTCTTAATTCTCGTCGTCGTCGTCGTGCCAATAAAAAAAATCTGAAACCATTGTAACTTTATAGCATTTTTCCCGTATAATCTGAAAAAAATATTTATAAAATTTTAGGGGATAGTTTTCACTCTTATTTTGAAATTTTAAAGTTTAAAATCGAAATTTCGCAAAGTACGCCACCTTCGATTTTTTTTTTGTTTTTTTTATTTTATTCCTTTTTAAATTTGCTTTCGATTAAGTCATGTCTCATGATGGTAATCGACCTGGAACAGGCCCAACCGTCTTGAGGGTTGAGATATAACGGTAAAAAGGTGGATTTTTGCCTTTGGGCCTTATGTTGGGCCTGTTCCAGGTCGATTACCATCATGAGACATGACTTAATCGAAAGCAAATTTAAAAAGGAATAAAATAAAAAAAACAAAAAAAATCGTAGGTGTCGTACTTTGCGAAATTTCGATTTTAAACTTTAAAATTTCAAAACGGGGGGGTGAAAACTACCCCCTAAAATTTTATAAATATTTTTTTCAGATTCTACGGGAAAAATGCTATAAAGTTACAATGGTTTCAGATTTTGTTTATTGGCACGACGACGACGACGAGACTTAAGAAACTAGTAGTCGAAGCAAAAATTCAAATTTTATGACAGCCATAAAAGCTCATGATGTGGGTCAAAAAATCCGAAAAAATTCGACAAATATTTTCTAAAATAGTACTACCGATTGCCATAGGTTTCGATAAAATCTAATTTTTGAGCGTACCCCTTTCACATTGAATGACCCATATAAATATTGACAATGTCTCCCCGCCGTATCAACAGAGTCACATTTTTGTATCAGATTCGGAGCTATTAATAATTTTCAACCGTAACTCGACACATTAAATATCACGGTCGCCCGGTTCAATATCGCAGCGACAGTAGCATAGATCTTATCCACCACCTCGTTTTGACGAAACACAATTATTTTGCAAACGTACAAAACAGCACTGACGTTCATTGCTGCGTTCGGAAATGATCGTCACGACACTTTTATTACTAATTATTGTTATAATTATTATATTTGCTTATGATTATTACGTGCATCACTCAGGAGCCGGACGATTGATCTATGAAATACCAGGACTGAAAGGTATATTCCGATTCTTGGTATTGCACTGCAATTATATCTGCCACGCGGTAAGTGGAAGTTCTCGATACATTTGCTATTAATTAATTAATAATTCAGAAATGTCTGACATACTTTTCACTTGCTCAAGCTGATTCCAAATTATATGTTAACATAAAATTATAGATAGTATATGGCATTAATATTTTTCCTTTCTCTCATTTGTTATTCTTGATTGTTTTAATTTATCATGCTCGATTTCAGCTTCAGTAATGGTATAGCGTATTTAAAAGAATAGAAACGTTAACAATATTCTTTCCGCATATCGTGATTTCTAATATATTTGCACGGATTTCAGACAAACTTTAGTTGTTTTTTTGAACTATGATGGACAAATATTATCCTATTATTAACTTTTGGACGTTCCATATACCTGTGGTATCTATCCGTCATCCAGATGATCTCGAGGTATTAGGTGAAAAGAAAAATTATAATAACCTGAGGGAAAGTATATATGTTTTAAAAATTATTTCTAAAGTTATAAAAATCAGAAAATTTGCAATAATGAAACTATTCGTATATATTGTTATTTACATATCAATAAAAAATTTAATTTTCTCGAACATGGTCCTTCAAAAGCAGAATTTGAAATTATTTTGTCGTAAAACGTTCAATTAATTAGCCTCATGTGAATTTCAGCGTTATAATAAAATGATACTGGACACAATGCATTTCTTATGATTCCAGGTAATATTAAACAATACAAAGCATATAGAAAAAAGTATTATATACAAAATTTTGATTCCTTGGCTAAATACTGAACTTCTTACAAGCGGAGGTAATGTAGCAAAAATTAATATCATAAATAGACGCATATACGACGTCCGCCCGAAAAATATCCAACTTAGCGCTGTAGCAAAAGAAAGAGTTATATTTTGGCCAATAACGTCGTGTTCCCTCCAGTGTACTTCTTTTTGAAACCCTTAACTTTCTTCCAGAGATACTCCTACTTTTGGAAACACTCCTTATGTTCAACTTTCGGACGTACGCTTCAAATTATTAAGTACTGTGTACTGGAGCATATAATTCATTATACACTTATTACGATGAAAAAAAAAAGTATCGAATTGTAATGTACGGAAAATATATAATTTAAACACACACACAGACTTAAGTATTTTCTCAGGCTGATAAAGCTGTATCACTTATTCATGTGAGCTCACGAGTTCACAAGTGAGATCTAATGTAAATATATATGTCTCCGGTCACATATGAATAGCAATTACACCGTGCCGTGCGACAAATTTTTGTTCTGTCTATTCATAATTTTGATAATGTCATGACAAAATGTGAATTTACTCAGAAATTTGCTCTTATCGATTTAGCGCATAAAGAAAAAGGAAACATATAAAACGGAATTTAAGAATTCTCCTTCATTCTATCTCGCCATTTTTCGACAACTACTTACTAAGCCAAGTGACAAAAAGAAATCAATCTGAAACATTAAGTATACTAAAGATTATTAGTTGAATGATAAATTCAAAAGCGCAAGAAGTAATCGCAGGCAGCAGGCGAGCGTTATTGGCGTTATTGAACTTTATTCTGTAGGGTTATCGCGTGATAATATTTGCGCTGAAAATTATTCAAAAAATGTTGCTAGTCATAATCTTATATATATTTTAGATGTCAAGTGGCACTCACGACGTAAGATATTGACGCCTGCATTTCATTTCAATGTCTTGCGAAAGTATGTTGATGTTTTAATTGAGGAGGGACAACGCATGACCAAGACCTTAAAGGTTGTCGGTGGAACTACTGAAAAGAATGTATTTACATTTGCTTCTGAACATACGCTGAATGCAATATGTGGTAAATTATGAGATATTTTTATTATGTGAGTCTACATAAAGTTTGTTTGGCATAACCAAAAGTGAGAGAATTTGTTTGCGCGTATAGACGGTACGTTAAATTAACGATCATTGATATTTCCGTAGTGATAATTACTGGTTGTCCCAGACATAGACAAATTGCGTAAGAGCGTTGAACGTATTGAGGTGAATAAAACTACCCTGTACCATTTTATAAACAACAGGTACAAAAGAACAACAGCTGCCATTTATTTGTATATTAGACTACTCTGAACAAAAAAGTCGTTTACCATTTTGCAAATAATATACTAAATTTTCAGTTGTGAATTAAAAAAACACCTATATATGGCTATTTTCCGCACTTAATTACTTAAAGTTTTGCATATTGTTTGCAAAATA